TTACCTTGCTATAAGTACTTAAGTGTCCAAAATTCTACGCAGACGACTAAGCAACTTCTTTGCTGCTATGGAGCGTCTATAGACTTTTTGAAGTTTCTAAGAAGAGACCTCGGGTTTGATACGGAAATTTATTTCAATCTAGATGGGCGATACGGGAAGTTCGAACCCGTGAACAGCACCTGGAATGGAATTATAAATGAAATTATCTCTGGCAAAGCGGATCTAGCTCTCGATGTGGCCGGAAACTTTGAAAGAGCAGGGGTAGTGGAATTTGCATACCCTAGCATTGCATCAGCAATGAACATTTTGGTCAGGAAAGATCGCTCCTACAAGGAACAAGGTATAAGGTTATTTTGCAATGTAACCGGGTTTGCTTACTTGCAAGAAAGTGTCCAGGCTCGATTTAAAATCAGATCAGTGCCGATATAAGTCGGGACTCAATTGGTCCTGATGTAACACAGTATCCAGTATGACATTGTTAGGAGTAAGTGAGAATACTTTCAGATAGTGTACTTTTTTATTTTTAATTTTTTGTCATCTTTTTTTTTTTTTGCAAAGAAACTCAATTGTGGAAATCTTTAAAAAATGTAATTTAAATACTTCTACTCTTTTCTCTATCAGTAAGCATCTGGTACTCTTGGCTGGAACCGTTCCGATATGAGCTTTGGATCGCTATCCTGGTGACATGTAACGTGATCCTGTTTGTAGTTTGGTGGCTTGACAGGAAGAGTCCAAAAGGATATTATGTCCTCCTCAAGGACAGTGACGAAGATGCTTTTACACTTCTAGGTAAGAAGCAAAGCAAATCCATATGGTTTTTAGCAAGGGATGGGAACGGGAAGAAAAAGATAAGGCATTTATCGCCCGGTAACCCTAGCCTGGGACATCTTTGTTGACGATTCGTACACTCTAAAATGTTTTTTCAACTTAAAAGAATGATGACTCGGGTCCAACCCGACTTATGATGACTCAGGTCCTAGAAGCTTTATACACAGCATAAGGGACTTTTCTCTCCGCTGGATGAGTGCACTCCTGAAAAGGACGGTTTTTGTTAGTGATGACCGACTTTCAGACAACCGAAGCAGGAGTCATCTTAAGGTCAGGTGTCTAAGTCAGAATAAAGTACCTTTACCTTAATGATGACTTCCACTTAGATTGGTTTGTCGAAACCCAAGTCACCGTCACCGTCACCGTAAACGAATTCTTTTAGATGAGCCTTCACCCGGACGATCATGCTAACGCTATCGGGTTGATATCATTAACTGTGCTAAGACTTTCTTTCCAGACGCCATGAGTTATGTTTGGGGCGTGGCATTTAGTAAGGACATTGGTGCGGAAAAGACTCCACGCAGCAACAGCGCTCGTACCGTTTCCGCGGTTTATGCGTTACTGGCCTTGATCATGGTGAATACCTACTGTGCAAACCTCATGGCCTTCTTACTTGATGATCCATACAAACTGCCCATCAGTGGTGTAAAAGATGCCAAAGTAAGTGCCGTTTATCGAACCTTGTTCAATTGAGTATGAAAAGCATCAAGAATTGTAATGTGTTTGCTAGAACACGACCTCTAATTGGTTCAGGAAGCTTGCCTCACTATCTCCACCGATCAGAAGAAAAATGTATTTAAAACTTAATCAAACTCAGATTGCATTTTAGTTACTATTCATTCCCGACGTTAGACACCAAACGACATGATTCCCGTTTATGCCGGTTGCCGTTATTCCAATTGTACTCTCGTTGGCTCCTTGACTGTCCTGATCACATTGGTTCTGCTAACTTACGCCCAATCGAAAAGCATTCGACTACTTTTCAATTTTTATGTGCAGCAAAATGCAGCTACTCTGACATTACAAAGACTGTAATTTCAGCTTGCGTTAAAAATAACCATCGCTATTTCCCAAGTTTATGACAGACTGAACTGATGAATTAGTTTTCCCAAAAGCGAGCGAGTTTAAACCACGATCTTGCTGTGAGAGGGCGCGAGGGATTTAGGTCTGTAAACATCCTATGGAATTTACCTTCAGTTAACATCGACGAGTTATTGCAAAAACTAATCTTAGCCTTAAGAAAGACGCGAAGCATTTGTCACCAAAAAGAACCGAAAAAAAGGAATTTGATGACATATGTAAAATTCGAGTCCCAATCAGTAGAGCTACAGATGCTCTGAAAAAAGAGCTACGGACGTAATTTTTTCTACATCGTTTTTATTTTCTACAAAAAAAGGCTAAGGAAGGATTGCAATCCAAAGCACTAGTTCCAAAGACGTTTCAGTCCACCTCTGTCGTCTAATGTTATTCTCGTCTCATTTCAATAGCTCACCGAGAAGTCTCTTTACCCACCGGATGGTTTTAAACTCGGAGTCACACGCGGGAGTAACGAGGAAGCATACTTCAAAAATCACGTCAAAGACTTTTTCAGGAAGATTTACCACGTTAACTTAAAAATACATCTGGTGGATGGTTTTCAGGCAGGGATACAGCAGCTTACAAACGAGTATGTTTTAAGTAAATTATCATGTTTCTTGAACTTTTAGATCCGAGGGCTGGATATTCAAAACCAGACAACTTCTCATCGTGGTAGTTTGACAAATAACACACGCACAATCAATGAGTCCGCCACACAGCCAATGAGTAGTTACTCAATTAAACAAGACAGTGAGTCAGTCCGTAAATTGATCCGCAGCCATTTAGTCAATCAGTAATGCAGCTTGTCGTGCGGTCCATGAGTTTGTTTGCTAGTCAGTTAGAACTTGATCATTAATTCATTCAATTATTTCTGCAATCAGTCAGTAAGTCAGTCAGGGGTCAGCCAATCAGTTGATTGGTCGGCCAGACAGTAAGCCAGTGAGACAGTTTGACAGGCAGAGAAGCAGGTAGTTCATCACTAATTATGATTTGAAATAAGCTGCTCGTCAGTAAAGAATTTACTTAGTTCTACTAATTGCTGTTCGCAATATTTTCTATCTCAGCGAGCTGGATGGACTTGTGGGTGACTACTTGTCTTTGAAGCAAGCTGGAAACAATGATGCGAACTGCAGATACAGCCTCGCTGGGGAAAACTTCTACAACTTTGGCTATGGTTTTGTTTTCCCAAAAGGTTCACCATGGATAGAGGAAGCAACTTTGTCAGTGTTAAAGAACCAAGAGAATGGCAGTATTCAAGCTATTTTAGATTACTGGTTCAACAAGAAGGAATGTACCACGAAACCAGTGAAAGAACTTGGTCCCGAGAAATTTATTGGGTTATTTCTGCTTCTTCTCGGTGTAATTGGGTTCAGTATAATTTCTTTGATATCCGAGATGCTCATCATATTTGTGCTGGTTAAATTCGGACGTCACCTGGGTCCCATGGGAAAGTCTTTGACGCGCATGATCTTTAGTGTGCGCAAGGGAGAAGAAAACGACATTCATATAAAGTGGTTGCAGTTGTACAGGAGACATAAGAGCATGCGCCCAAACGAGGTACAATTCACTGAACCTCATCACGATGTTTCGATTCGAAGAGCGAGCTTTTGTAACCTGAGCTTTGAGTATGCAAATGAGATGTTACCCTTTGATGAACAGTCGGTGTATCTTCGTAGAAGTCAGCTATTGGCAGTGGAAGATCTATCCCTTTCGGTTGGTGGGAATTCCGAATCAAATAACAATACCTCTGATAGAACAGAGAATTCGACGCTTTGAGTATCAATAGATGATGTGGCTTTAGATTATACCACCACAAAACTGGCGAAATCATTGGGCAAATAGGCATCCCTTGTCACTTAGCACTCGTAGGGGTACCGAAGTTAGTAGTACACCAACGAAGGCGAAAAAAATTAAAACTTCAATATCTGCCATGGCCGTATTGATAGGTTATACTAAAAAAAAATTTTAATTTAAGTCTTATGACAAGTCAAAATATAGCCTGGGAAATGAGTGACGTGCAGAAAGAGCATTAAGGCTATTCTTATCCTGATAATATAAGGACTACGCCCAACCCAGTGAAGTTAAGAGTTCAAATGGATAAGTGAGTAAAATGTTGTCCAAGCACATACGTTTCACTAATACCTTTCGTTTCAATTTGGTGCAATATTTGTACCTCGACTAATTATGTGCGGGTCTCATAGCAAATACATGCGAAGGGAAAAGAGAGAAGAAAATGATCATCAGAAACAAGTTTACGTTGACATAAACGGCAAGAATTGAACTTTCAGTTGTGGAGCAAAAACAAAATTACATAAAATTGTCGCAAATGAGAGATCTTTCTGTATCTTTCCCAGGAGAACTCTCTCGGTCTACATGGAGTATAGGTGATTCTACAACCGTACATAACTCTGTCATAAAACTTGCAACACACTCAGTAAGAACGTCCCCCCGCCATGTGGAACATCAATTTTACTGACATTTTTGGCCCAGTCAACACATGTTTCAAGACCATGACGCCTACCACACCAATAAATAAAATGGTTCCATTAAAAAATACGTACCATAGTATCTTCGCTTTGAACAAGTGTAGAAAACTGTTTCATTATATGAACTGTTCAGAAGTAAACATGATTAAGATGAAAAGTAGACTTTCAACTTTATAATTACAACGTATGATTTTATACAACTTTGTATTATACCCATGTCTTTTTTACAGAATTGTTCTATGGTTCAAAGAAATAAAAGGAGAGGAAGTAAAATACAGCTATGCTGTCCCGTTTGTCCGTTACGGCCGTCAGGCTCTTTATTTAACATGCTTCTAAAAAGTAGCTTGTGCTGTAAAAATAAACAAACGCACAAAAGCTGATGGAACGATTGTTACTCAAACGACTTACCCACAAGAACGCATTAGTAATAAACACATAAATAAATACTGACACACTTCAAGCTTTCACCCTTAGTCTGTTTTCACGACGAATGTATGTAACAATAAAGTTGCATTTTAGCTCCACAACACATTCTTTACAGAGTCGACCAACTGTTGAAAACAATAAAATACATGGGGCAAGAGTTTACTGAAACAAAAATTAATTAAAAAGTAAAACACAAGAGCTGGCTTCTTCCCGGTCCAGTGATTTTGCACCACGCGATGTAAAGTAGCCAATAGAATCACGCGGAAATTAATAGTGGGTTGCAATGTCACATAGACCATGGAAAACTAATCTATATTAACACATCAAATTCATCCATGATCTCCATTCCTTACATCTTCCTTTCTCACGTTGGTAAAAATGTAGATTTAAGCCCAGGGATTCTTGTTTTGTTCAATTGAATCTGAGGGAAAAAATGGCATATTATTTAAATTGGTCTTTCAGTAAACTATCATCACATATCATATCCTTTAAAAATATAATATGTATCGAGAAATGAAAACTACGGGGGAGTTATTGAACTATCGTTCACACACCTTGTACTAAGTCGTCGGCAGATTCTTCCACAAGGCTGTGTTTGTCAAAGAGACCTGGCAATTCGGGGACCGTGCTGGCCACAGAAGACTGAGATCTACGCATTGACACTTCCTGTGAACTGAGGTGAGAGTAAAATCAGAGAATCACTTGGACGACTATTCCAATCTAGGCACACAAATAAGCCTCTCTATCGACAAGTAAATACATGAAAAACTCATTACAAACGTTGTTCTCTATTGTTTAATTTTACAGCGAAAAAACAGTTCGCCTCATCGTCCTTTCTTGGCCCTCTTCACATCGTGTAGAGAGTCTTTCTTAAATCATTATTGTTATTATTATCATTATTCTTTAGCGTTATGTGACAACCAAAGTACTAAGCAAAGACACAAGGCCATCAAACTTGGCTCGTTACTTTAGTTAAAAGTACCTCAGCTGTCGAAGCTCTTTACGAGAAACCCTAACAGGAGTAGAAGCTTGAGAAGGAACTCCCATTCCCTTTTCGGCGAGAGAATGCTTTAAGTTAATAGATAACAAAATGGAAGATATCAATCAATCAATCAATCAATTTGAAGTTCAGTTTGTCCGTACGTTGGTCCGTGAGTCAGTCAGTCATTTAGTCAACCAATCATTCAATAAGTCAGTCATTAATTCAAACAGTCAATCAGTTACTTATTGAGACAAGATAATTTGGTTTTATCAGATGAGTTGAAGATGTGAATTGGCCACCGTTCAGAGAACCTAAAGCCTATGTTCGAATGTTAGACCCTTTTAGAGCGCGGATTTGCTCTGACGAAAGGCTGAAGCTGGAACCTCAGCTTTAAAAACTCTTTACGGTGGACAATTCACATTATAAACTCAATTGATGAAACCAAATTATATTGTAATACGCCCCACCAACGCAGCACCATAGTTTATTTAAAGACTTACCCTTATTATTCAGTTATTGAGACAGTCAGTGAGCAAGTCGATCAGTCAACAATCCAGTCTGTCGGTCAATCAGTCAGTCATTTACTCAGTAAGTCAAACAGTCAATCAGGCACAAAGTCAGTCTGTCAGTCAGTGAGTAAAACAGTTATTTTATTAGTCAGTCAGTCAGTGGACAATAAGCTAACTAACCAACGGCAAAAAATTAAAAAATGTTAGAGAGTAACCAAGGAATTACAAAGCCAAAGAGGAAAACAAGACACCCAACGTAGGATACCCAAAATGCAGGCCAAAAAGGAAGCCAACAGTCATTCTTACAAAATCACCAGGGGAATATTTACCTTCATACGGGAAACGTCTGTCGCTAATTGCTTGGTGTAGACATCTGTACTTTTATGCTGAGCTTCCACTTCACTACTGGCCATAAAAACATCCGATTCAACACTGGTACCCATTCCAGACACCATCTTCTCTCGCAGTTTCTTTTTCAGGTCGCGGCTTGTTTTCTTGTAGTAATACAGATCTTTCTCCAACTGTTGGGCTCTATTTTCAAGTTCACTGCGATAAAAGAGAAATATTTGGTTTAGTTTACATGCTATCACAATTGTATCATTTTCTTTGTGTCCGTACGACTGCAGATCTTCATTTCACCCTCAAGACAGGACATAACCTTTTATCTACATACAGTATTTTTCTACGTGAGCTATGGTAGACATCACTCTTGGCTGAATTACACTTCAACGCTATGCTTACATTATTTCTTTCAAACAAATGCGACAAAACCAAACACAAATATTAAAAAACAACAAAAACAACTACACGGTATACCAGCGAAAAAGGGTGACTTAAATTCTGCATTTCAAACTAAATCAAATATGACCCGGATTGTTGTTACGTTTTTCAATAAGGTACCTTATTCTCTCATCTGGTGTCTCATTTAACTCAGCATCACGAAGTTTGTTCATTAAGAACTGTATCCTCTGTTCGTATTTCTTTTGATGCTCCACTAGCCTTCGGTCCCCTTTTATTCCAGCTTGCTGCAATCCACGACCTAGTTCACCAATGATCCGTTCTTGCTCGGTTATACGAACCTGGCGAAATTCAATGTAAAAAAATGGTAAGTAACATACTCGTGTTGCAAAGTAATCTACAAAATTTAATCTCAGATGGAAGCAAAACATTCTCACGGAGGGAGAGCCAGTTTTCGCTGTTCTATCCTTTTGCTGATTATGTATTTATTTTTCTCCGAAGAGGAAGACGAATTATCATCAGACTGCCTTTCATACGTTACCCCATCGCTGATTCATTTATACTTACCTCCAAATCGCTACAATGCAGCTCCAGTTTCTTCTCACTTCCCCGTAACTCGACAACTTTCTCAAAGTATTTTGACAACAGGGCGGTGGCTTCCCTTTGTGAGAGGTTACTCAGCTTGTTCATCAGTCCTTCTCGGTCTTTGTCTGTAAGAAGTTTACCACCGTCCAATTCTTTTTGTTGGGTAGCAATTCCATCGTTTTTAAACTCGATCGCAGCTTCTAGCGCGTCGATACCTTCGTCTAATTCAATAAGCCTGGACAGAACAGAAGCATATCTCAATAGTGTTTGGTTTTGCTTCAACCAAAAAACCTCGGTATGATAAAAAATGACTTTGGTTGCTGTTAAAACGATCGATTGATCTTCATTACATGAACCTCATGTCAGTCATGAGATTTTATTAGGATTACTCCCCAGAAGTGATATATATTTATTAACTCTCGTCACCTGTCAGCTTTACGGTGTATTGATAACGATTCTGAGAGCTAGGGGGTTTAAATATGTCTACTTTACCTCCTTTCTTCCTTTGGATCTAACAAGGAGCCTTCCTGTAGTTTCTGCTCCAAAAGTTCACGTTGTTTTAGAAGTTCATCTTTTGTTCTCTCCAAAGTTTTTGCACTTTCATTGCTCTTACTTTGACTTGAAGCGTCAGTTTCTAGAGAATAAATTATGGTAAAATGATTATAGGCGTTTTGTGATAATTCAAATTATTAAAATGTTGTCTCACTCTTAGTACATTTAAGTGTCTAATCCCAGTCCGCATAGCATAAAATCCTAACCTTGGCATATGTTGAACGGTACAAGTTCTTGCTTTATTTTCGCAATCAGTGATAATAGTGAGGAAATCGAGCAAACGAATAACAACAATTGTACACTAGAATAAAGCCATGCATGGAAAACTTAAAGAATCCAAGTGGTATTCTGTGTGATGAAACAGATTGTCCCAGTTAAATAAAAAGGATCTTGACCTTTCCGGCATTTCTGTCTTTTCTGTCACGACGGAGACGTCAATCGACTTTTAAGATAAAAGTAGTTCGATGATTCTCTGGTGAAGTAGCTCTAGGTGATATTTCGTATAAACCAGTAATTCAGGATTTTAACAAAGAATCCTACCGTCCACATTTTTCCCTTTTTGTTGGATCTGTTTGTCAACTTCTCCAAGTTGGTTAGATAGTCGAAGAATATCCTAGAGGATTCAAATGAAAATGATTTTATCATTAAGAAGGTGTCGGAGTCCACACGTTTATTCGAGTTGAACCCTTTAGTCCCTAAGAGTGACTAGCATCTAATTTCTCCTTACTATATCACCCCTGAATCAAACACGAAAGTCATGAGAATAGAGCAGATGATCACCAGCTAAAGCAGCTCTTGACTGTTAAACAGATTCTCCTTGGCAGCCTCTTTGGAAAATACATGGAAAACAGTAAGGAGAATATGCATACTGATGTTAGGGTGTAAAGGGTTAATGAAGTGGTTTAATTCACTAAACTATTTCTCTTCTCTGTGACTTAATAGTTTGAACAAGGAAGTGTCTCCTTAAAGAAAACATAAAAGTTAAAATGTGTTTTTTTTCTTACCTTGGTAAGTATCTGGCTAGAGCGTAGTTTCTTCATTTCCAGTTCACTTTTCTCGGCCAGCATGGCTTCTTTGTTTAGTAGGATGGCTTCTCTTTTCTTCAGCTCCTCTGCTAAAGCTTCCATGGCCTCCTTTCTCCTCAAAACTTTTTCGACTTCATTATCCAACCATTGACGGCGTTGCTCTAATTTTGCTTGTTCATCGCTGTAAACAGAACAGTAGACGTCCTGGGGGTATCATAATTTTTTGGTTTGGGGTAAAATTCAAGAGTAATCACCGCAACGATTAGGGAGCTCTGCGATCTCGCTCGTTCTTTAGTAGTACATTAAAATGTGGCCTGTCTGGGGCTTTGCCTAATAGGAATTAGTGAAAGAAAAGCTGGCCAGTGCTTGTTCAGAAGTGAACTCCTAACCCAATGAACCTTTCTCTGCAATACCGTATCTAGGAAGATTCGTACCTCTCCTTTTCTTCAGATCCTTGTTTGCCAACACTTCTAAGTCGCCGCTTAGCGGCTGCCACCTCTTCTGTTTTCCTTTTGAGTATCTTCTGCTGCTGGCTCATATTATCTTCAAGTTCCTTGATCTTGTGCTGTTGTTTCTGCATTTCTCTCTCCATTTTTATTTTCCTGTCAGCCTCTTCTTTAAGCTTCTTCTGGAGCTGATCCTGTTGATTTCTCATCCTGTCAATGTGCACCTCGAGTTCCTGAACTTTCTTTTCCCTCTCTTCGTGCAGGGCGCCTATTTTTTCATTGTCCTATGGAATATTTAAAGAAAATGAATAAGAAAAAGGTTATCTTTTTGACTAGAAATTTCGAAATGCAGACCCATGCATGATACAACTGACTCAGTTGCGAGACCAACTGTTCAAAAAAGTTCTGTCCAAAACCTTACGAATGATCACATCGAAAAGAACCGATACCAAGCTACAAAAAGATGGGTAAGAGAGAGAACGCTATGGACGCAGCGGCCTAATGCGCTGCCTTGGTCTTCAAGGCGGTCCAGGTTCCAGTGCTGCTATCTCGAATGTTCCAGCTGTTTACCGAAGGAAACGAGAGCCATTCTCGTACATTTCATCTTACGAGTAGGCAAAACAAGATAAGCTCTCTTCTGTGTCTTTACGGTTGGAAAGAACGAAGAAGTGCCAAGTATAACATAGAATACTTGTAGCAGCTTAAACGTCCAAAACATAAGTCTTACCTTTTGCTTTCGTTTCAAAGCCTGAAGCTTGGCCTCCACCGCCTGCAACTTTTTCTTATACTCAGTTTCGACTTTTTGTTTCTCCGCGACTTCGTGATTAGTTTTAGATTCGTATTCTTCCAGAGTTTTCTTACTTTCTTCCAACTCTTTTTTGGCTTTTTCCAACTCCTGTTTCATGGACTTTATTTTCTCGGAGTACTGCTTCTTTGTGTCCTTGGCTTCCCTATCACTCTTGGCTAGTTCCTTGATCAACTCCTCTTTTTGCCTAAACATTTATAATCAAAACATCACACATTAAACAAAAGAGGCAAGAGGCAACTATACAGCTAATTTCTTTCAATAAGGAGAAGGATATAAAGGTTTTCATATAAAACGTGCACTGGCTACCGAGGAGAAGGACAACGAAGGGAAGAAAGGGAAGGAATAGAAAGATTGGGGAAAAAAAAAGAGGGGAAGGGAGGAGATTGAGAGGGAGAGAGAGGATGATGAAGTAAAGGAGGAGGATGACACGGAAAAAGAGGAAAACAAGAAGGATAAGGAGCAGCAAGAGAGGGGCGGTTGAAGACGCTGAAAGAAACGAAGTGGGGGGATGAGGAGGGGTGATGGGGAAGAGGACAAGGAAGACGAAGAAAAGGAGAAGGAGGAGAGAGAAGCGAGGGAAGGGATGGTTGATGGAAAAGTAGGAAGGGGGAAGGAGGGAAACGAAGAAAACGTGAATGTGAGGAATGGGGAAGATCAACTTTGAGCAACGGTACCTTATATTAATAGTTAAATCCCTCAGTTTTTGCTGGGCGGAGTGGAGTCTTAACTCTGATTGTTTCACTTCGTTTCCGATAACTTGAGTACTCGATCGCAATGCTTCAACTTCATTATGTTCCGCTGAGTCAGGTCTTGACCCTCTGCCCTTCGATTCTGCCAAATCTTTTGTAGAGACCTAACGCAAACGATTTCACGAACAAGTTTATTACAGCAAACGCATATACCATCTAAAGCAAGAATGTGTGGAGGTAGAGGTGCAAATCTATGGAAAAGTATTTTGTTTGTTTACATGACAATGTTTTGTAAAATGAATATAAGTGCACAAAGCGTTTTTAAACCATTCACCTTGCCGTTACCCAAGATCTTTAAAGTCTTTGATTGTTTAGGAACAGTCTCAGGTACCCGTGGTATTTTCGAGCTTTCTCTTTTCATATTCCAAGTCCTGCCCAATTCCCTGAGAATAAATAAATATTATTCTACGATTTAAAAACAAATATGCCGACCAATGTTAGAAAAAGCAAGTAAACAGAGTCAGAACGAACTTTCTTGTGCATGTTCTGAGGCGAGCATGTCTCTCTCAATTTTGATGTAAACAGGATGAGATTGGTTAGCACAAAATGATCCCGGTCAATCAGTACGTTACTAAAAATAAATCACACAATTCTACACTTAGCCTTCGCTTCCCTCTGGGTGAATTTTTTGTACCTTGAAGGTTCTTCATCCACCTCGTCTGCACTTTCACTGCTGTCTGACAAGGTGCATACAACCTCGTCTTCCTCCTCGTGTTGGCTGACTAGCAACTGACTGCGTGCTCTGAAATCTTGTATGACTCTGTCAACTATGAACTAGACACGAAACAGAAGCAATCAAATTTCCTTTTTAGAACCTAAGGCAAGAAGAGTAAGAAATGGAAAGGCCTTTAACTTTCACAAGTGTATGGCTCTCTTTCTTAAGGCAATACGGCACGTAGACTTAAAGTGTGGCAGGTAGGGGGAGTAGGAGTGATACAAGGAGACCTCTTTCCGGAAAAAAAATGGATTGAGAACAATCTCCGCGCTTCACTACTGCTGATCTCGGTTTTGTTCAATCTCTTCCCTCGGGATTTTTTTATCTCAACGAACAGTATAGCTCGTTAATGCTTACCACAGGCGGGCTGCTGTGAACTTCTCTATCATTCATAGACGCCGTCCCATCTTCAACTAATGGCGCAGTATGAATACGTGTTCCTCGAGGACTGGAGAAGGCCATTTTGTCTTCTAAAAGAACAATAAATAAGCCCAGTAAACAGAATTAAACTTTACAGAAGGATAATCTAATCTGGTCGCACAATTTTGCTAAAAAAGCAGAAAAAAATTATCTCTTGAAAACTTCAATCGTACCTTGATGACCCCCTTGGTTAAGAAGGAGTTGATTAAGCTGGAGTTGTTGCTGGAATAGTTGATCTTCATGTTTTTTCAAGCGATTCTGCGCTTCTTGCAGTTGGTTGTTGAGTTTAAGTTTCTCTTCCTCGAGTTTATGCGCATGCTCCCTTAGAAATTCGATCTCCTTTGATTTCTCCGCGAATATTTCTTCATCACTTGACAAATCTTCCTTGTACTATGAAGGAAAGGGATTCGTGGTTTAGACCGGGAAATGGCAAGGCCGATTGGGAGGCGATAAACTTAATTTTACTACTTCATTGGCATAACTTTGTCTATCCTGAAGCCTTCAAAATCGTCACCATTACCTTGTTAAGTTCTTTCTTAAGCTGCTCTATCAGGTCGGCTTGTTGTTGACGACTGGTGTTTGGAGTCCAGATTGGTCTCGACCTAATCTGCTCTACAGCTTTAAGAAACCGGTCAAATTGGCTACACTGATTATTTGACATCACGCCGGCCTTGTGCAGAGCTTTTAATTGATTTAAAGCATCGGAAAGAAGCTGTTTGTATGTGTCACACGCTCCACGAGATCTTAAATAGGTAAAAAAAAAAAACTCTTTTTCATTGGCTCCACGTTTATATCGAAATACCTCACATTATGCTAGGAGGGGAAGTGGTATCAAATCTAATTTAGTGCACAAATAGGATTTTAAAAAATTGAAATGCAGCAATATTTGGAAAATTATTTTTCGTAGTTCCTTACCTTTCTAATTCATCCTCTAGCGACTTGATTCGCTCGGCATCTTCTCCTGTACCGGCAGACCCAAAAGATGAACCACGGCGCCGTTGAAGTTCTTCACGGAGAGCCTACATCAAAAAGACAACAAGAGTGAAGTGCCATGATTAACGCGAGCGAAACACACAGGTGTAACTTTAAGGTTCAAACCTTGGGAGAGAGGGACGGACTGGGGGCAGGAGGTAAAGTAACACCTAACAACAAGCGAAAACTGATTTTTGTCAAATATTGTACATTTAGCTGGCAGTATCTGGCTGACAAAGGCTTCTTCCTTTGATGCCATTACATATTTGTGAAGTCTGAGAGCGAGCGCTTTTTGTGTCTTCATTAGATGTAGGTTACGTTAAATAACCCAACATGGTCTTGGAGTTCGCAATAGGATATTTTGGGGTATTTTCTTAAAATTCAAGTGAATCAAATTCACCAACACACACACTGATATAAGATCACTTTACCTGTATCTCGCTTTGCATTTCTGCCAGTCTTGTATTCTGTGGATCACGATTAACCACTGGCTTGTTGCGAATGTTTCTAGCCTAAAAAGAAGGGAATATTGTGTGCGGCAATCTTCGCTTTACCTGACGTACCCATAAGTCTTAGTTTAGACTTAGTCTTGCCTTAGTTTCCTTTTCATTAGCTTTAAACTAAGGTCCAACATACTCACCCTCGTGGCATACTTTAAGGAATTCAAATTTTCCGCAAAGTCTGTTGCACAAGGACTGAGACACGTTATCATCAATGTTCTGGAATTGCCTCCCAAAGAATCTTTTAGCAGTCTTGTTACCTTACTGTCCCTGTACGGAACATGGAGGACCTGAAATGGCAATCAAAAAATGTACCAAGGTAAAGTCGAAGGTTCACTTCCGGTCATGTAAGTTGTGCAGGTCAAATTCTGAATTCTTTCAGACTTATTGTCTGCGAAAAACAGGTTGACAGCAACGAGCCTTTTGAACTGGTCAAAGAATAGAACTTAAGAGTTTTCCTTACAAGAATAGGGTGGTGCTGGATTGGCACCGCGCTTCTGAGAAAAAACACTAATATCGAAAAAGTTAATCTCAGATGGACTTTAAAGGAGCCAGAATTAAGGGTATTGTAACTGGGAGCAAGCATCGCGGCTTGCAAACGAGCGACTCAATGAAGAAGACTCACTGGACGATGCACTAAGCACGACTTGACGTTGAAAGGCTAAATTATGATCATTAATTACTTTAATAGTTGCAGTTAACCCGTGAGCTGGTACCGAGTCAATAGGCCTCCATGTCTTGCATGAATACACCTTTCTAGTATCATAATACGTTTCTTCGCATACCTTCTTTTTGGAGTCCGCCAGAGCACTAATCACATTTCCCAGCGCTAACAAACCACTGTTAATGTACACAGACTCCTTGAACCTTTCACCGACGTTTCCTGTTCGATGAGCTCTCTCTGAACCAGCAAGATCAACGAAGTGGAACTTGGCATACTTGTAATCCGTGAAGTCTGACAAATAATTAAGAGAAGTCAATGATTAGTCTTCAGTGCCCAGCTATCTATTAACAAAAGAGTGGAGATAGGCTAAAGAAAGCGCAGTGCCCAGCTATCTATTAACAAAAGAGTGGAGATAGACTAAAGAAAGCGCAGTTTTATCATTTTACCAAGTTAGTAAAGATTGCTTAAAACGGAAATACGATCGAAAAAAAAAACACACACGCAAACAAGGAAACAAAAAAATACCAAGACATGGGTTATAATAACTTTCTCTATAAGCAGTTGCCGATGTTGTAATAGGGGACTGGGTCCGAAAAGAGGCCATGAGGCGGTACCCAAACACGAGAGGCTTCTCGAGGCTAAACAGACGGTGGTGAGAGGTCTGGTGACTAGCTTTTATTGAAACACCTGCCAAGACATAATTTATATACATACATACTAAATTTCTTACCCATGTCGCTCTTTTTCTCACTGTCCACATGCTCATCTTCAGCCAGAGGTTTTTGCTCTTTTTTTCAAGAAATCAAAGGACGCAAGAATGAGGATACGAATAACAAGTAATTTGTGAATGTGAAAAAATTAACGTCATAATCTCATAAATTTAACTCTTAATGTCAATAACTAATCTTTAAATCCATATTAAGCTCAAAAAAGTAGTAATTTGAGGTATTTTTGTCAAAATACTCGCGTGTAAAAGCAAGAGCTCATTACATGATGGAGCAATGGAGGGATATGGGATAACCTAAGTAACAAACGTCCAAAACTTTTCGCGGCTCCGCTACTCGTTTTTGCAAGTGCATCGCTTGTCAACCTAAAACGTTCATTAAAAGACCAGCTACCCAAGCTAGAGAGGAGATCCTTGTGTCTTTGTCTATGCATCTTTCCATTGAAAAGTGGGCTATACACCTGATTTGGGCTTTCCTCCTTCAATCAAAATCTATCGCGAACGCAACCTCGTTCCGAACGAATAAGATTGCTAAGTTGAAATTGCCAATTTTTCAACTTGTCACTTCGCCCTCTTCGCTGCTTAATACTTAGAACTAGACATCTACGTAAAAGTCAATGTCTTTTTAGACTTTTCTTTTACCAACATATAGAGTGAAAATCGTATGTGATCGGCTGGAGCGTTCATTCATATTCGTGGTGCCCACTTGCCGCCCAGCTGATCCTGAGTCCAGGCAGCTCATAACTTCATCTGCTGTGTTCACTGGCTGTTCAGTGGCTCCTACAATAACTGAAACAAGAGAGGAAAAATTCTGTACCTGATAGAGCCATTTTCATTTGCGAGTCAAGTGTAATTCGGTATTGCTCTGGCTTTGCTTTATTTCGCTCTGCGATTGGTCTAGAAATCTCGCGCCATTCCCTAAACCAATAAGATGCGAAACTAACACTAACCGTGATTTGGACACCCGCGTTTTCCCGCGCTTTTGGAAATTGCCTGTTTTTACTTTGAGTTCCAATGGTATTTTTCTATTTCGACAATCGAAGACAAAAAGCTTCAAATTTTTTGAGATGGAGAAACGAGATTTTTTTTGGCACAGCAGCCAGCAATTTATAAGAATGCTTTTATACTCAGCCTCCTTTCCAGTGACTTGCAGCAAGATCACTTACAGAGAGCAATTTTCATTTGAGTGAGGAAAATAATCCGAAATTGGTTTGTTTTGACTTTACCTCAGTCTATGATTGGTCCATAAAATTCACGTCACTCTTTCAACCAATCAGATGCAATTATCCAAACCACTCGCGATTTGGTCTCTCACGTTTTCCCGCGCTTCAGGCAATTTTTCGGCTTTACTTTAAGTTCTTACTGACTTTTTAAGGTACCGGTGTTTCCTTTCTTCGTTAAAGCAGATGATTAAGTTTGGGGTATATAACAGCTAACTCTTTCGCTTCGTGCACGAAATTTGGTACAACAAAACTCAACAACACTACGGCAGTAAGCCTTCTGCCAATTGTATCATAGCAGTACCTGTATTTCCCTTCTCATCCTCTCTGACATGAATATCTTTACTAGATGTATCCATATCGAGTAAATCTCTCAACTCCTCCATGTAAATCTCAACATAAGATACAGTCACAACAAACTCTGTTTTGTGTTTGTTTTCCTGTGGAAAAAAAACCTGGATATGAGTTATTTTGGGGATTATAGTGTTATCAACAGTTTTGAGTGAATAGATGACATCATTATGATCATGAAAATGATTACAGCTGTGGGTAAGTGTGAGTAAAATATTAATTTTTTGCCTGATACCTCCAGAGATGACACCTGGCTATAGATGGCAAACTGGTGGGGTTAAACGAACTTAAATCCTAATAATTATAATAATCATCATCATCATCACCACCATCATCATCATCATCATCATTGTAATCATCATTATTAAGAACTGGATCTTTGGATAATGCAATTCAAGAGTTTTCATTGGCTTAGCCATCATGGGTTATGAGCCATTACACCATGCTCTAGTAAGTGTACACATCAAAAAAAGTTTACAAAATAAGGTTGGGAAGATTTATCGATATTTTTGGGTGTTTTTTAAAATACTTATACCACTCACACTTGTCAGATACGAGGCAATTATACCCAACTCAGCCCTATGGACCATGTTGGCTATCTCTCATCTCATATCCAATGCACACTCCTGGAATAATTATTTTTATAATCCTAAAATCATAAATTTTTAACTTAATGTTTTACTTCATCATCTTTTCTTTACCCATTACTCATGACAAGTCAAACATGGCAATAGATTCAAAATGGTGAAATAAGAACTATAAAAATTCCTTCCTTGAAGAATCAATTGAAGGTAAATAGAGCATGATGCTAGTTCACCAATGAAATATCAGTTATTTATGAAGTGATACAATCTCTATCTCTGTTGGAATGATAACCTTCTGAGCAAACAGGTGCCCTATGGTGCTTGCCCCTCACTGAGAAGATCTCCTAAAACAATCCACTTTTACTCTAAGGTTTAAATCCCTTAGAGAAAGGTATGACTAAAATCCTGTTACATGATGCTTTGCAAACCCTTTTTGAAAATCCTGCATTTCCCTGTGCTAACATTTACCTCCATAATCTGAAAAAGTTGTTTAACAGCTCTAAGAATAATCCCATACTGTTCTTCCAAAAGGCCAGCACTGTCAGTTCCACCAATTGTATAGGTCTTCCCAGAGCTCTGTCATACAAATAAACATTTAACTGATTGAAAAAGTGTTAGAAAACTTCTTCATTACATGTATGTACATGCTATTTCTTGGTATCTTAGGGTTTACCTTGTAAGAAACTATGGAGTTTCCTTAGTTTGTAAAGAAACTTTCACTAAAATTTTCCACCAGTACACTGTTTTGACTTCAATTTACACATGTATGTAATGGGTTCCTACACCAGAGATGGGCTTTATATTGATTACTTTACCTATAAATATCAAATCACATTTACATGTACACATCAACCATGACTTTGCAGGACAATTTTGAGCTTACAGCTACAAGACTTGAGCACAGTAGCCTCAAGATTTACTAGTTGCTATTTACAAATTGCCTGCTATCATGATATTATATGTGGCAATAAAGCAACAAGAATGAACATTGCATCGCAACAGTACTCACAGTTTGTCCATAAGCAAACACAGTGGCATTATATCCTTCCATACAGCTTTTCACCAATGGTTCCACACACTTTTCATAAACCTCTGTCTGATGACAAAGATTAAAGAACAACTCTTAAAAATCAACAACTTGCCATCTTCTATGAAATATTGAGTTTATTCTTGCATGGAAAAAGAAATAATCAGACATGAAGTATTTTTCCTCAACTTACCTGCCACATGCTTTTTTCCAAAACCCATTGTGAACTTCCTACATCAGCATTTATTACAAAGTTTGTTTGAAAAGCATTCCCATCTAAAAAAGAGCTCTTTAAATGAACACTCCCTGATGGAACTTAAATCATCCAAATGTGTCCCCCCTCTTTGGCATTTTTCTTTACCCTTCTTATTAACTCAAAAAGGACAAGACTAAATCTACTGCAACTGGTACAACATATTCTGATAGATAGTTTATGACTCTTGTGTAATCTATCATTGGTGATCAGATCTTTTCTTCTGATTTTAGCCCTTCATTTACATCATCACCCAATTTCGCATGTTAGTTATATACACACAGTACAATAAACATGCACATTGTATTAATAATAAATTCATTACCTGACTTGCTTTTGGAGGGAACACGTAATCAAATGTGAATCCCCGGTCCTTTCCAAGGATCAATTGAGGCTTCTCTGGAATAAAGCGCACACACTGTGGGACATTGTGGACTTTCTCCTTGCCAACCAAAGGGCGTACCTGAGGGCATAACACAATGACATGCTTTGAAAAAAAATTGCTTAGATATTAACCCATTTGAAGGCCCCTGAACTGCTCCTTACTGCCCATGTATCTCTTCTGTAACAATGGCAAAATACTCTACACTTTTACATTTTTTCATCAAAGTGTGCCCAAGGCGTAAACATTGAAGGATATCAAATGTCTTCTGATTATTCCCTAGATTTTAATGGCATATTGGTCACATGATGAGTGTAAACCAATTGCACATGAGAAAATATGTCTAATGATTGTAGTTAAATTGTGATGAGTTACTTAAATAAATCTTCACCAAGGCATTGCATTTATGGGAACTATTGGTAAATGTGACTACCCTGAATATTATCTACCTGCCCAAGTGTTTTATGTCTAAGTGGTAAAATATTCCAAAAAGTAATTGGGGGGTTACACACTTATGGGGAAAACATTTTCTTTGACTTTTTCAATTTCCATTTACAGGTCCTAAGTTCTGACTTCGCAGTGACTCTCTCTCTGCTTCCAACCGAATGAGCCTTGTGTGACATCCAAAAGAACGGCTGCGAAGGATTTTAATGCTCAAGTAAATTACTTTCAAACACTATTCGATAAAATTAGCCGCCCACGATCTAAAAAATCCACAAAAGTGTTCTTTAGCAGACATGGGGATAAAATTAAATTGTAGGATAAAATAAAATAAATGCAAGACCAACAATAACCCCCCTAACTTAAACGAGCCAATTAGAAATTTCTTAGTGATTGCCTAGATATGTCAGATCAGTGCGCTGATTTTCATAGCAACGTACCCGAACAGCAACTTTTACTGGAACTTCTGTCATTTTATCAAGTTCGTTGCGATCCAGTACTTTTGAATTCCATGAACACAATGCAATCAGTCAAATCTTCCCTCAAAAATTCCCTTTGTAATTTGGCGGTCAAACAGTCTGACATCCATGTTTGTTTATACCCAAGACTCAGCTGATCAGCGGTATAAACAAATAAGCTCAGTGAATGATGGGTAATAAAAACATGGCTGCCGAATTGAAACTGAAAGGGTTAGAGCTGTTTGGGAATTTTCAGCGCACTAAATCATAGAGCGCCTCGCGATTTGAAGCAACGCTTCAGTGATTGTTGCCATAGTTGAGCTATTTCATCCAGAGGCCATCGTATAGACATACGAAATAACTCCAAAGTGGGAACCCCGACAAGGTACAGATCGCAACATATCGGCAACCGCAGACACTTTGACGTCGCACGCAAATGACGGTATGTGAAACATACAAAATACTTAATCATGCCAGATTTGATACTGCATATCTAGAAGAGGTATTTTTCAATACATTGTCATATTTTCTGTAGTAATTTCCGAGTTCTTTCCAATGTTATTTTATTTCAATGATTTCTTTATTCTTTTTTTCGAAACTGAAAGAAATTACTTCGGGGATTTTTTAATAATTTACACTCAGATTTTTCCCATTTTCTTATTGAAGGTCTTTCGCTTTTGAACTCGACGTCTAAAAAGATCCTAGGCGAGCTTTCGTTTGCAGAAAGGAAAATCGAAGGAGGAAAGCAGTTCATAACCCTTTGGTCCTTTAACAAAATTGCCTGCTAGTATGTTTCGCTCCTTTTCTCAGCTGTCTTTGAAGAAAGCGAATTGTAAGTAAGATTTTACGAAACAGTTAACTTCCGTTTCCTAGTTCGTTGAAATACCTCGTGGCAAGAGCTATGGATTTAAGCATTTGGCATTGTTAAGCTTGTTCTGCTCAAGCTTTACGTCCATATGTATAAATAGAGTATAAAGATCCCATTTATCGAAGTATCTCTTTCGTGTCAAAGCCATCGCTGGATCCAATTCAATGTTTCTTCCAAGCTATAGCATTGTATAAATGTATTTTTGTCTTTTGTAAAGAAAAGCAAAGTGAATCAATTCTAAACTGAGAGATATTGTTTGAAAGTATAATGGCAATGAACCATGAGAAATGGATTTGTTCCCATCAAATTAAAGATGGTAACTGCCTCCATTACATCTTCTGTCATATCTTTTTCTGTTTTTGGTGTGCCATTCTTGATGCTTTTGGCTTTTTGCATGACAAATGTGTAATTTCAGACAAATTGATATAAATCTTTTTGTAACTCCTTTAATTTGGGATCCAATTTGTAGAAGTTTTTTGTCCTTCTCTTTAGTCTAACCATTTTTTTATGGGTTCAGCCCCTCTTTCTTTAACAGTTGAACCCCCATAACTTGAACCCTGGGTAACTTGAATTCCTGGCTAACTTGAAGCAAAACTGATTTCCCCAGGAATTGCCTCATATATTTACTGTAATTTTAACCCCTATAACTCAAAACCCTGATAACTAAAAGCAATTTTTACGGCCTTTCAGGTACTCTTCTTTGTAATTTTACCCTTGATAACTCAAAGTTAATTTTCACTTTTTGCAGACTAATGAGCCATAACATTTTGCACTGGAAATTACTTATAATCTCACTTACATATTATGACAAATTGACCTATGTTTTGTTTTGTTTTGCTTTGTTGTTTTTATGTTCTTACATTGCTAGAAATCTTACACTAAAACATGTATAAGCACAAAACCTCTTAAATCAAGTTTTTTCTGTTTTTTTTTGTCCAAAACCTCTCTAACTTGAAACCCCAATAGCTTGAAATAATTTCTGTTTCCCTAAGTAATTTGAGTTAGCTGGGTTCAACTGTATTTTAACTACCCACTCCCCTTCTTTGTCAGTGCAAGTAAATTCTTGCCTGAAGTTTGATCTTTGTTTAGTTTTTGTACCAAAAATGACTCCTCAGATAGTTTGTGAAACTTTTTTCCAATGTTTCTTAGACCAAAGTAGTGACAAACTTCCTGTTTCTTTTCATTTTTTTCAGGCACCTCAACAGAGTGTAAAAATATCAAAGAGTGTCTCGAAATTGGGGAAATAGATGAGGAAGGGCTGAAGGAGAAAGTTGATGGTCTTAGAGAAATTTCATCTACAGGTAATCAACTAAAAGCACTGACTCGGCCACAGTCAGGAGATAGAGAAATCAGTACTCTTCAAAAGCAGATTGTAAATATTATTGAAAGCAAACCATATCCGTGTGCTCTTAGTGATATTCTGCACAATATTTCCATCTCTGCCACTGAAGAAAAAGTGAACAAGTGTATCAATCAACTGGAACAGGAGGAAAGGATCATAAAAGTCCTGCAAATGCCTCCTATGTGGAGAATTCCAGAAACAACCGAGGAAGGCAAGGATGACGATAAAGCGGCAGAAGATATGCCACCATTGGAGACACTAGTGCCGGACTATGAATCAGATGAAAGTGAAGAGGGAGTAGAAGCAAAGCGGGTATCATCCACTTTTAGTCCTGCAATTAGTCAGAGTAAGCGTCTTCCGATCACAAACCATGGTGGATCTCTTCAACCTAGGCAGTCTATATCTGATCCTCTTTCAAGCCGAAAGGGAAGCACATCGTTAGCAGGAGGTCCTCCTCCACCTCCCTCGGCTCATTTCTACAGCGCCTTGATGTCACAGTGTTCTAGGAAACCAAGTCCAGTTGTCATTGCAGCCAGGCCAACCTTTTGCTCTACGTCACGTCCAAATCTGCACTCCACAAGGTCTCAACCACCTCGTCCACCGATACAATCTTTAGATCCACGACCAAGTCGACCTTCAGCGGTAGCATCACGATTTTCGCCACAATCACTCATGGATCTTGAAACGCCCTTGAACTCACATGTTGCTTTTAAAATGTCATCAAACTCTGATGCTGTCAACCTACCTGATACACGAAAAAACCGAGGGTATCTTAGAGAGACCAACGCTTTGCAGGAGGACGGAACCACGAGTTCTCCAAACGAGTCATCCAACGTTAGTTCAGTTCCCTTCACACAGCCTCAAGTGTCCCATTCTATGAGTGGCTCATTTGGGTATGGATCAACTCCACAGAAGAAACCGCCATTAGCACAACAAGCTCTTGCTATGTCTTTCCACAATTCTTCGCATGCTTCAGTAACTCAGGGAGCTGATAGGATTCCTCTCCCCCCTTCAGCGGAACGTTTCCGTGAGCTGGTCAGCCGTGGACCCCAGGCAGTTCCAACATCGACCAAGAGCCCCGTAGCTTGTACACCTCATCAAGCTTCAACGCTAAGTGACCTCGAAGCGGGGGTGCTGGACTTAATGAAAAGAGAAAGAAAATCTTTTCAAACTCTTCATTTGGCCCGGCAATTTGGTCTGCACAGAAAGAAGGAGATCAACCCAACTCTTTACAAACTGCAGTCGTTGGGCTTGATTTACAAGATGCACGAACATCCACCAACGTGGAAGGTGCGTCACGAAGTGAGTTCTCTGACATTCAAAGGTTTAAAGCCGGTTGAAGTCAGCTCTTCTGCACCTGCCCAGAAAAGAGCATATCCCACTGCCGATGAGCAAGGACATGAGCAGTTAGGAGCTAAGAAACACTTTCAGCCAGCGGATACTTCTCCGACTCCTCCCGGGAGTGGGGTGGGTGTCTTTGGGCCTTCCCAGCGAGGAATGCTCTCGCCCAGCTTTAAGAGTAACCCAGTGGCACAACCTGCATCTTCCCTTGGATCAGGAAAAAATCCTCCAGACGTTCTCTCCAATGTCGCTTATTCCGCCATCAACAAAAATCCCGTCAGTGCTCTAAACGAGTACGTGCAAAAGAATAGAATGGAGCTGACGTTCGAAACACTTAGCCAAGGTCGTGCATTTGTGGTTGCTGCTAAGATAGACGGAAAACTATTCCCTTCGGCAGAAGCACGAAACATGAAAGATGCAAAGCGTGAAGCCTCAGATGTTGCTCTGAGAACCTTACTGGGTCGCAATATGAACGAAGGTATCGAAGAGGGATCTTTGGCCATCACTGACCCTTCTGCAAGCGTTTTGAGCAAAGTTAGCACGCATTTTGATCTGATAGCTGCACTTTCACTTCATAAATTCTTGCAGATTGCAGCCTCCATCTCCGAAAAATTTGCTGGTAGAAAGGTTGTGGCATGCATGATTATGAAAAATAGCCCAGAAGACTCTGGCCGAGTTGTTGCCGTGGGAACTGGTAACCGTTGCGTTACTGGAGAGAGGCTGAGTATGGAAGGAAAAGTGGTGAACGATTCTCATGCTGAAATTGTTGCTCGTAGGTCTCTGATGCGATTCTTTTACAGACAATTAAATAGTTACTACGATGGAAATGATTCTATTTTTGTACCGAAAGAGGGGTCAACGAAGCTTGATGTTCGCGAAGGTGTCTCATTTCACCTTTACATCAGTACAGCTCCGTGTGGTGACGGTGCCTTGTTCACTCCCCGAGAGGAGCCCAACTCTGACCTCTCTGAATACTCCAAAGAGCATAATCCTATATTTACAACCAAGCAACAGGGCATTCTGCGAACAAAGATCGAAGATGGCGAGGGTACTATTCCAATTGATTCATCTGATGGTATTCAAACATGGGACGGGCTTTTACGAGGTAAACGGTTACGCACCATGTCGTGTAGTGACAAGATTTGTCGCTGGAACGTTTTGGGACTTCAAGGCGCACTTCTTAGTCACTTCATCGAGCCGGTTTACCTAACTTCCCTGACACTTGGATACTTGTACGACCATGGTCATCTCTCGCGCGCAGTTTGTTGCCGCCTTCAACACAACAGTGACCTCAACGCGCAGCTGTCGCCTCCATATCACGTGAATCACCCGTGGCTTGGACGTGTTACCGCATACGACCCACCGCGTGAAACAGAAAAGACAAATAATCTTAGTGTTAATTGGTCAATTGGAGACACGGGCGCTGAGGTCACTGATGGTAGAACGGGAGCATGCATGTCACGAACAAATAACAGCCCCACTCCTTCGCGTGTATGTAAGGCCGCGCTTTACACATCTTTCAAAGAAATTGGTACCAAAGTCGGTCGTGAAGACCTGGTGAACGTTGAAACATACAGTGAAGCAAAGAAGATGGCGACTGAATTCCAAAGAGCGAAGCAGATGATGTACGAGTATTTTAGCTCATCGAAGTATGGGTCATGGGTAAGCAAACCCATGGAGCAAGAACTATTTTAGTTTTTCTTCTGTCGTTTGCTCTGCTGCTTTAATATATGATAGACAGTGATTTGGGTTATACTTGATAAAAGCGTTCCAATTGAGGTTAGGAGCTACCTTAAATGGGCGGCCCAGACTATCACGTGATGTAGACGCATTGAAAACGTCAAGAAATCAAGGTTGTGCAGCTCTTCATGACGAGCTGCGTTGCCAAGATTAACAAAATTTAATGGTGTCATGTTAAACAAGTCTTTCCAAAACGCAAGCGTCATTAACTACAGTTCGGTGTGTATGATAACTATACAAATTATACAGTTTAGAAGGAACGCTCATTAAAGTTCATGTTATAGTTTTGTCATCATTTCAGTTTCTTTCAATTTTCTAGTTCTGCTATGGCTCATGTGCCCGTTGACGTGTGCATGGGTGTTCATTTGGGAAACTCTATTCGTTGTGATATGCCCATTGCCATTCATGTCAGAGTTCACGTGACCCAGCGGCTGTTCTTGAGAGAAGCAGTATTCGTTGTTATGAAAACCAAGCTCCACTCCTGTGATTCTCTCAACTCTTGCATTAGCAGCCGCAATATCCCAGCTTTCCTTTCGATGGCGTCTGAATATAAACGAATATTGCATTTTGAGATGTGCTTCTTCACCTTCCTTCACGTTCAAAACAAAGTTCTTCGTGAACTTTCCTATTGTACCGAGACGGTCGCCAAACTTCATTATGGCAATGACTACGCCGAACTCCAAGAAAATCGCCAGTACACAGAAGGCAATAACAATAACTACTGTCATGAACAAACCGCTCAGATTTATTATCTCAAGCTGTTTGAATGGTTTTAAATCGCAGGTCTTTTTGTTGAACCATCGCTGTTCTATGGTTTCTATTGCCCCGTTTTCTTGGTGTTTAAGTACCGCTTGATTGATATCTTGTAGCCATGGTGAAGCCTTTGGCAGCGCTATCCCCAATCCAAAGTTGAAAAAGTTTGGTCCAGCTAAACTGTAGGAACAGTCAATGTCGTTATTAGCGACCTGGCTCAATGAAAGATGATCTCCGACCAATCCGTGGATTTCCCTTAAAAGTGAGAAGAAAAATGAGAATTTAAAACGGATAAACCCTAGAAATAAAAATGTGGTGGTAATTCCTTAACTTCAATGATACTAATTGAATTCGGATTTGTTTGGTTAGTTTTTTCCTTTCGTTTTCCTTGTGCCTGTGTTTACATTTCCGTCCTTTTTTCCTTCATGAAGAGCTGTGTCAGAGATTTGTGCATCACTTATCTACCGTCGTCCTACTAGCACTAGCGGCTAACTCCACGCGATATTGAGGTTTGATGAGTGCCCTTTACCCTTTCACTTTTGTGCCAAGTCTTGCGCGTTTTGAAGAAAAATTACATTGAGACTATGTTGTGGACATGTCAGGATTTGCTCTCCAGCCCCTGCGTACCCCCATTTTGTGATCTTAAAACTAAAAGTCGTTTTATCCAGTAAAAACTTATTTTAACCTTAACTAGGAACTGTAATCCTTCAAAATTCATGAAATTACACATGATACTCAAATATTTCCAAAAAAGTGCATAAAGACCATTTGCAATCGTGATGCTCAATAGGCTTTCAAGATGTACATTATGACCTGTGTGATCACAGATCACGACCCACTACATTAGGACTTCAACACGATCAAAGTGTGTTATTCATTACGTATGCGTCAATTATTCTACACGTGCGTACTTGAGAGCAAGTTTTCCCGAGAGAGACATGTGACAATGAAAAACAATGCTCATACATATGCACGAACCGCAGTGGAGTGCGGTTCGCATAATTACACACTTTGATCGCTTTGTTGTCGTCACGAGTTTCAGCATTATACCAAACCTGGTGACTTTCGAGTAACAACCCTCAAAAGCACGTCGTGTGTCGAAAACCACTGCTGAGGCATGCCCAGATTCATGGCTATACAGAAAGTTCTCTTTTGTTTACCAACATAAATTCTTCTTGTCTCTCTTTAATTTGTCTTACCTGTTTTTTAATTTTTCAAGGCCATCTGCGAAATTTCTCACAAAATTGACTTGTAAGTTGACGTGATAAATTTCACGAAACATGTCCTCGCTGTGAAATTTAAAATAGCTCTCTTCTTGGGAATTTTCTTGTACTCCAAGCTTGAAACCATTGGGCGGCATGAGAGACGGATGTCGAATCTGTAGCAAGTGACAGATATAGAAAAAGCTGTAAGTAACGGTTTCACGGTGACCCTTTCCCTTTTCACAGGCCTGATAAAGAGGTACTAAGGGAACAGTGATTATCTATCCCATAGGAAGGGAGGATTCTGGTGAGACCACATGGTTCTCAGGGGGATTGGGAACGGATCAGTCCGCCGTCCCCAACAGGTTATAAAGGGGTGACCATAAAAATTTGATGCCAATTAACTGGCAATGAGGGGAGATCATAACAATGTTACAGTGCGTTACTATCGGAGAGCAGGTAAATTTCTATCGTGACACAATTAAAATCGTCCAAACACACCTTACCGAAAAATGCCTTACCCAAACACAGTGAGAAGTTATGTGGGAAGTTGAAGTCGAATTAGTGAATATTGATATTGAAATTAGTTTGCTTCATAATTTTTTATTAGTTCATGTTAAAGTTAGCATCAAAAGGTTCGCCAGTCTTTGTTAGAACTGGATATTGATCGGAAAAAATTACCTTTTCGTCCCGTATTCCGCTGATAGGAAGTACAAACTCCTCTTGGACTAAAAAAGCCATTAGATTTGCGCAGTAAGTGTTGACGACAATTAAAGCAAAGAATGCAAAGAATGTAGAGACACATCTTGCACTACTGCTATGGGGTGTCTTTTCAGCACCTATGTCTTTTCCGAACGCAACTCCCCATACGTATGTCATAGAGTCTGTTGATACGAAGTAAGTGTGATGATATATAGTGCTACACTGGCATCAAGATCAGAGCATTGTAAACTACTATTAGAGCTAATATGGAACTTTTTATTTCCACATATGTGCGAAGTGGCCCTTCCATCTCAAATAATTTGAATGAAGGATGAAATTTAAAAGGCGCTTCGTTACCATATCACTGTGGTTCTTTGTTGTAAGATACAAATTTCCTCCAAAGCATATGCATATGAGACCAAAAAATAACCGTTTGATGAGAGGGAATATTCCCAAAACAAAAAGAATGTAATGGCAAATGTTAACTTAAAAAGCATGAGAAATATACATAACAACTTAGTTTAAATAAACAAACACAAATAATTTCAGAACTAAGGAATGAGATCAGTTGATGTTACTGAACAGTCTATACCGAAGGAGGCTTAGGGAGAATAATAAGTTTAAAGTTGGAACTAGAAATGAAAACAACAACAATAATATACCTAGTAATGTGAAACCATCGTCTCCGCTATCAACTTGTCGATAATGTCCATATGGACTCTTCCGGTCAATCCACCAAGTTACAAGTAAAATGATGTTGATAAATCCGAGTATGAAGAACCACAGTTCATACTGAAAAGGCTCCAGCCAAGAACTCCACTGAATTTCTATGAAACAAATCAGGTTATATGATAAGCTGAATGACACATGCATTTTGATTGGTTCTTGCCTATGACGTATGGGTGATCATATGATAAGCTGAATGATGCAAGGATTTTTATTGGTTCAATAATGCAAGGTCTCGGTTTTGATTTCATGTTTCCAAATCTTGTAACAAAAGCTACATAACACCTGTCATTAATTCTAGATAGATGACGAATGAACGCAGTACCAAAATTATTTGAGTTTGATTTCTAAAAATTGTTTTATTATCTTTCTTTGTTTATTTGTCCGAAAAAAATTGACTCTAAAGGTCCATCCTGTTGATGTTCACTCAATTGATAATGGCAAAAATGGTAGGCAGAGGAAGACATCGGTAGTAACGAGTCCTCTTGACAGACGTTTCCCCGCTCATTGGACCTATCAACTAATTGTTAACGGGCTGTGTAGAGTCTAAATTTCTACAGGTATTCTCACGTCAATCCATGATCAGGTAAGAAGAGTCGTTTTCCTTAAAACTAATTTGATGACAGTTAAGCTTGAAGTGAAAAGACAGTTTGTTGATTGTTTCTACCATGATGATGATTACGATCGTGGTTTTTTCATCCTTATTATCATCATCATTAATATGTTTGACCACCTTAATTATCCTGGAACATTTTATTTTCATCATTAAACAAAGAAACCTCGTTAGCCTCACCGTCATTTACTCGCAAATCCTTCAAAACCAAAATGTTCAAAGCGACGTGGACAAAAGGTTGGGCGAAGTCAAGGTACTTTGCTCTTATGGAATTTACTGATATGTCAATGGCGAAATCCGCTTGTCCTGATACCACCTCCTGAACGATTCCATTCCACATACCCTTATTCTCGTCAAAATCGCCGTAGTTACCATCTGGAGTGAAGTAGATCTCGCTCTGAAACCCCAACTCGTTCTGCATCATGACAAGCAGATCTATGGAGACACCCGAGCAACAAAGAGTACTCTTTTTGATTCTGCTTCCGTTGTGATATTTGTAACAAAGCTGTCCTCTTCCGATACAATAGTAACTCCCCCTGCCATCTATGCGAGAGTCCTCAATTTGGACCCAAGGACTGTACTCATTCACAGGAACTCGCACCACATGTGTCATTGGCACAGCAGGTGGGGTGATAGTGCTCCCATTTGGGACCCTTACGGTGTCAAGCGCAAAACCACTCGGCGTACTCAGCCCAACAAGGGTCCAACATTTTGCACCATTTTTATCACCTCGAAGGTTCCATATTTCAAATGATGTCGTTGATTTCTTGTGGAGTGAAGGTTCCACGAACAGAGAACTTAAGCCTTCAAGGTATGAATCTTTTACGTTCCTTGCATGTTAAAAAAGAAAACAATACGTGAGAAGAAATAAATTAGCTCCAAGGACGTTAAATTTTACTTATGTCATTTTTATTTCGCCAAAGGAGACCCGTGTGAGAATTGATTAGGACGAAAAGACCTAGCACCAGATAACTATTTCATCAAACCAAATACTCCATTGCCCAGCCACATGACTTCACAACTATCTTTGTTACCAACTAAAATTATAGAGCCTCTATCGGTGGGAACATAGTCACGTGAAAACAAGAACAAATTAAAAAAGATGTTTTTCGTATTGTCACGAGTGTGTGTGACAAAAAAATCTTTCCCCATTTCTTTACTGAGCTCAAGACTTACCATCCTTCTTTCTCTGTTTACAAACATAACGCCATTGATCCTAGCAGTATGCAGGACGCGTGTCATACATTACCTTCGTAATGGGCTTTGCTCACAATAGAGTCTCTGCGGCTCAGTGGA